ATTGGATTTCCTCAGCAACAGTGAAGAAACACACTTGTGAACATATTCTGTCACGCAGCTGAAGGAGAAATGTATTAGTTATCGGCTTTTAAAAGACAATATTACTGTGTGTGTGGAGATGAATTAATTTAGGGAATTATGCAAATTATATGTTGAAATTTCTTTTCACACACCAGTCCGTCCATCTATCTATCTATCTATCTATCTATCTATCGCAAAATCATATTTTTGACCACACATATGGGAATATCACATACATATTAATGGGACCTCTTTTGCTTTTCCAAATTTTTAGTCTTACATATCAAGTTACAATGAATGATGTTCATGATAAACATGACAAAAGTTTCAAATAATGAGGTACAGGTATGTTACGTAATGCCTGTGAGCAAATACTTCAGGTATCCTACCATTTTTAATACTTTGTTTCCAAATAAATACTTTGTTTTCTACAGTATGTAGTCAACATATGCTGGATTTCTTGAGATGGTCATCTAATCCAGGCACGCCACCACAAGTCTTCACATTTCGTAGCCTACACTCACTACTAAGTAAAGCTACATGCTGTCATCACCCAAACGTAGTCTTGGTTGCTGATTTTGTAAAATTATTTCAAATTTCAGATCATATTCATCTGAGAAACACTTTAATTTGGTGATTTTTTCAGGGTAAAAAGTGCCACCATTCTCGATTACAGTCAATCTCCGGCTGCAAGTACACAGCTACTGTACATGTAGCTAAATGCTAATGTCATGGAACTACATGGTCCTGGTTGCCAATGTCGTAAATTTCTCTCAGATTTCAGATGGTATTTTTGCTGGATTATGTCCAGTTGTGTTTAGAAGCTTTTATTGGTCATTTTTCATAGGTAAAACTGGATGGGGATGAAATGGTTCAACCTTCCGGCTCTTCTAGACCAAATGTTATCGGACCACATGGATTAAATCCCTGTAGTGAAATGACTCATTTCATGGGGGTTGTAGCGCTCAAAAACAATGTATCCACAGATTTACAGATATCTCTTTCACAATGTTAGTCAAGGGGAAAAGTTTTTTTGGGCCACAGGGTATCACGTAATAGTGTAATTACACTGTCTGGCCACTATGAAAATTGGCTTAAAAGCCTGGTGCCTATCCTGGGGGTCTGGTAGCTACATGTAACCTGCAAATCCAGAAGCCTGGCCCCCAGCAAATTCGAATTTGCACTGCACAGGAATTTGGCCCCGATGAGCAGAGCCTGTTGAATTCCAAGTCGGACTAATCAGATCAGTCTATCTGACAGAGGCGGGCTCTGGGCAGCCGTAACATGATGAAGACAGCGTTTCACCGTAGGAGTCGAAAAGTAATCAGCCAAGATGGCAGCTGCCGAAGGACCGCGTCCATTCAATTTAGCTTTGGAAGAAACGCTAAGCCAACTACACTTATCTTTTTCCTTGAGAGAGGAACAGAAGACTACCCTAGAAGCCTTCGCTTCCAGGAAGGATGTTTTGCCGACGGGATATGGCAAAAGCATAATATATCAGTTAACCCCACTGTTCGGAAAACAAATGGGGCTTACTGCAATGAATACGTCACCTTGTTTTTTTGCTCTGATTGGCTATCGTGTTATCCAATTGCGTGCGGCGCCATTTAATATGCCTCAGTTAGTGCCGCCCCTTGGGTAGGAAGGGTGTATCAGTGAGGGCCAGACTCAAAATCTTTCAAGATTTGAGTCTGGATTTCCAGGCTAAGCTACATGCTAAAGTCAGGGAAATATGTAGTCCACGTAGCCGATGTTGTAAATTTCTCCCCGATTTCAAATCATATTTTTGCTGGAACATATCCAGTTGTGTTTAGAAGCTTTTATTGGTAATTTTTCATGGTAAAAAGTAACACTATTCAATTGTTACAGTCATTCCCTGGCTGAAAGTTCACTGCTAACATACATGTAGCTACCATGGATTTATTTAAAGACCTGGATACAGCACTGGAAGTGGGGCCCCGTTCATTCCTATGAAAGTTGCTCAGTGGCGCATATGAAATTACCCAGACATTTGGCACTGTTTCCACACTGTGTGGCCAATAGCAAGTAAACTAGGGACTTATGGCAGCCTAGCATGGCCAAGCGGCTACCTTCCACCCACCCAGCCAGCTACTTCCAGTTTAGCACTGATTTATCCACTGATTTATAGACATGTCTTTCACAATGTAAGTCTAGGGGGAAAGTATTTCCCCCTAGTATATTCAAAGCCTGGTGCACTCCCTGGGGGCCTGGTAGCTACATGCTAATGTCAGAAAAACATGTAATCTTGGTTGCTGATGTTATAAATTTCTTCCAGATTTCAGATCATGTTCATCTGGTATACGTCCAGATGTTTTTAAAAGCTCTAATTGGTGATTTTTCATGGTAAAAAGTGCCGCTTTATTCAAACTAGGGCTGTTCCGAATACCATTTTTTAACATTCGGACCTTGGGCAGAATTTATAACGAATATTTGAACATACGCTCATGGCGGGTGGATGCTTTCTTTTGATTTTCACATTGGCTACTCATCCTGTTTAATTTGTCTTCTGATTAAATCAGAACCGTTGAAACAAGTTGTAGGAAGCCTCTGCAAGTAATTGGTTGCTGGCAGACACTCTGTGCTGCAATAAAATGGTTAATCAGCAGTGCTGTGCACTGTAGAGCCGATGTGCTGCTGGTTCTGCTGGCCTGAATAGAATATAATGTCTATAGCCTTACTGTTGTGTACAGCCTTATAGACTGAGCTGAGTAGTGATGCGCGGGTCGACCCGTAACCCGCGGGACCCGCAAATGGACCTGCGGGTCGGGCAGCAGTGATCGTCTGTTAAATCGGTCTGTAAATGATATTTTGACATTATTACTGTCATGGCATCCGAAGATACTGATGCGTTGACCAGGTGACAGTCCGTGGTCGTTTTCAAAACACACTTGTGTCACACACTCCAAAAGAAACTTGTTGAAACAATAATTTATTGTACAAAACGGGGGAAACAAACGTTGACAAAAACGGGTCCATAATTCATATTAAATTCAAAAGATAACGAAAAAACAGCTACAAGTTAGAGGGAATAGTGATAAAGGGGTAAAACTTGGCATTGATCCACAGCCTCAGATGGACGCGCTCAAGCGTGCCGTGTGCACAAGCTCAGCTGGTAGGCTATACTATATTTTCACATTTTTAACAATGGAATTTAAAAGTTTTGATTTTTATTGATAACCTACATTTACCAACAACAAAAAGACTACATTTAGCACCAAAAAATATGTAAAATAATAATAATAATAATAATAAAATAATATAATAAAATAATAATAATAATAA